ATCACAGTCCTGCCCTCAATTTATCTTTGGTTTAATTAATTTTATTCTAAGACTAAAATGCTGAGCTAAAAGCAGTTAGGTTGTAGGCTGTAAAGTTGTAGGTCGTTGAAGCAGTCATGGAACAAAAAATACTATGTTGGACATTTTCTTGCTTTGGGGGGAACACCCGTTGTTTTGACTAGGTAATTACAGTCAGTAGCTCTCTGTGTGTTCGCAGACTGCGTGCTCATGGGCTTAGGTGCGTCTCCCGCCGCCCCTCCTCTTCTGGAGTATTTTGGTTTGCAAAGCAGTTGAGGGTATCGCTAACATTTTTTTTTGTCTGTTTATTTTCAGAGGGAAGTGTAACATCTCCCATTTTTCTGACATATTTGCTGCTAGAGAGTTTAAAGCCCGAGTGGATTCATTTTTCTACATATTAGGCTACAATCCTGAGACGAGGTAAGTGAGACACTTGGGCCCCCTCAGCGAGAACTTCTGCTTTTCTCGTGTATGTGTCTGTGTGCGTGCACTTCTGGGCAGGTACTGTTAAGATGAGAGAAAAGACACGAAGTCCTTTAGTAGGCCCCTTTGGAAGATGTTATAACTGGTGTCTACAGCAGCTTATTGTTTGCTCTTTTTTGTTGTTGTTAAGAAAAGGAAAACTAAGAAAATTTGGGTTTAGAGAGGGCAAGATTAAGACATATATTTTATTGATCTGTGTTTTGAACTTACTTATCATGAATTGGCACACTATTACCCTCATGCACATTCAGTCCAGACTTCCATGATACCTTATTGAAAAGGCCATTATAGAAAGTTTATTGATTAGTAATTTGTTCACTTAATAAAATCCCAGAAACACTCACTGAAATATCTCTGGTAAGACTACTGGTGTGAGATGGACGCATCCAGTTCTCAACCATCTTGGTAAGATCTGTGTGACAGGTGGAATCATTATTTTTTTAAATGAAAAGCAATAGAGTCAAAAAAATTTAACAAAGACTTTTTTATGTCTGTAATAGACTGTAGTTAGTCCTTAGAACTTCTGTAAGAGTACATGCATTCATGCCTATCCTGTATTAATCATGCAACTACAGGTAAGGATTTTAAAAAAACAAAGTATTATTTAGGTGATCAAGAAGTCTCTGCTCAGAACAGTCAAGACAATCTACACATACAAGGATTTAGAAAGAGAGAAAAGATGCTCAGCTCAAGGAAGTTAGTGGAAAAACTCAAGTATAATTGCGAGATGAGTAGTTTCAGGGAAAACATCTCCCTGGAGGATACTGAGAAATTATATGTAAAATTTGGAATATTGCTGTTCAGGCAGTCAAGTTGGGGTCAATAAAAGGCGGCACATTCTCTGTCATGGCTGTAAGAGGCTGCATACAGCTCTTGTGGGGTGTGTACACTAGTGACTTTCTCCGTATATACACTGGACAGCAACTATTGGGTCATAGCATAACGGTCACCTTTTTTGCTTACTTTTTTTCTGTAGAAAACAGTGGATTTGAGCTCTTTTCATTTCAAAGCATGCCCTATTCTAATGGCAGAGAGGCTGATCGGTGATAATATTTCAAAAGCATATTATATTAGGAAATGTTTATTTTATGTATCCTGTCATTAACTGCTTGGTCATAGCTTCCTGCTGCCC